CATCTGCTCGGCCGGGCCCTCGCCTTTCCCGGGGCCCTTTGGACATCTCTGCCCATCCGCCGTGGAGATCCTCTGCACGCCCAGAGCATCTGCTGGGCCCCAGCTCTCCTGCCCAGCCCTGCTCCCAGTGAGCCAGCCCAGCCCGGCTCGCCCAACACTGGTGCTGGCCGGAGGTCTCTGCCCAGGGAACCCCTCCAAACGCTGTGGCTGTTTCCAGCGCCCCGATCTTGTCTGGGTTTTGCTGTTCTGCCTCATGAATGGATGAATTTCTGCCTCCCGGCTCACCCGTGGTATGCTCATCATTGGTGAATATTCATTAAGTGAAATTAGCATCTGTTAGGTCTTAATTAACTTATTATAAAAGGCTTGTTTTGTGGTAATGAAGTATATACTCTAGATGTGCCTGATGGCAGCTGGTGGATCCCCCTGCCCATGCAGTCATCCCTGAGCAGGGTCCAGCCCCTCCAGTGGGGGCACAGGGGGCTGGACCGCTGCTTCTTCCCCACAGCTATGAAGTCACGGCTGCGAGGAGGCATCTGCGACCTGAGCATGTGCCGGACATCAGCTCAGGTTTGCAAAGTTTCACTAGGTGGTCGCAGCAATGCCCTGTGCCACTGTGGTGGTCTGATATTTGGTGTCTGGTGTTTGGCGTCCGGGCTGTTTGGGCTGTTTGGAGGTGTGTGTTGAAGTTTTGTTCCTTTGCTGGGTGAGTGCAGCCCTTGGATCTGGCTTTCACGGGCTGTCCCTGTGCTGTGGGATGTGCGATTTAGCTCAATCTCCCTATGGATTTGCTTAAAAACTGTTAGTGAGGCACCAAAAACTGCCGTGCTCAGAGGATGTAGGATGTAGGAGGAGGTTGCATGGCGCGCTAATGGGAACCGACCCGAGCCGTAACCTTTTCCCTCTCAACTCATTTTTCACTGTTTTTCAGACTTCATTCAGGTCAGCGTGGGGTGGGGAAGCAGCAAGGGCAGCGGGAGCTCGTCACCCTGGTGCAGGAGCTGGAAAGCATCCCTAGCGCTGCCCTGTGACCGGGAGGGAGCCTGATGTCCAGAGGAGGGAAAACGCATCACGAAAGAGCTGGTGGCAGCAGTGGTGCTCGTCAAATGGATTTCCTCTGTTAGGCTTCACTGTCGTTCTTAAATGCACATGAGCACCATGGGGAAAATGACTGGCTTTCCAGGTGAAAAGAGAAAAAGTAATTACAGGCGAGTGCAGAGCCAACGCTGAGAAGGAGAGCAGGAGCTGCCCTCCCGCCGGCCAGGAGAGCCGTGGAGGAGGCCCTCCCCTCCCAGCAGCTCTGCGTTTCCACAGGGCCGGCCAGAAAGACCCTCCCCGGTTCCCTTCCACCTGATTAATTTTTGCCTGTCAAGCGCTGGCAGTTGCTCGCTGGAATAAATCGTTCTGTGTTTGGGCAGGGCAGAGGCTCCGGAGCAGTGCCTCACAGGGACCCCTCCCTGAGCTGTAAGGCCAACTGCAGTAAGGAGCTGCGGATCGATGCAGCTTACGGGCACGTGTGGCAGAAGCACGTGTGATCAGCGTTTTACAAAGGCTCAGTGGGTAATGCCTTTGTCAAAGCTGAGCAAATTATAAAAAATTTCAATTTAGCCATTATTGACTTTTTTCAGACAAGACACAGAACAGGTCTTGAAGCGAGTCTATAAATTAAATTTAGCCACATAGCTCACAGACTGAAAGCCTCCTTCATCACTGACAGGGAAGAGGAAGGAAGAGGTGAGGAGGGGCCTGCTGACTTCTGCTTTCCCACCTGTTTCTGTAAATTATATGCACTGTGTTCATGGTTGCAAAAAAGATGGAGACACAGAGGAGCGGGGCAGTGACTGTCACCAACGCAGCTTTTTAACATTTTGCTGCCATGAGCTTGCAAACCCCCTTCCTCCAGGGTCAGCTCCCAAGGCTTGGGGCTTTGCCATTGGTGACAACGGGGGGCTTTTTCTTTTAATGCCCCATTGTTTGGCTGGGGACCTGGTGTTCCTAGAGCGGTGGCACCAAACAGTCACCTTGGACCCTGGCGTGAGGAAGAGCCTCCCCATCCTCACGCCCGCTCTGCCGCCCTCCCCTCAGCCATGCCGGAGCTGCCGGCACGAGGCAATCCCAGCACCATGCGTTGCCTGTCGCTGCTGCCACGGCCACAGGGCCGGTTCTGCGGCTCTCACCCAGCTGTTCCCCCTCGCCGTTCCCTTCTCCTGCCCTTGCACCGCTCTCGGGAACGCCACAGGCGCCGGGGTGCGACACCGGTTACGGGGCCCCCGGGTGCTTCTCACGGGTGAGAGCAGGGCTTGTATCGCTGGTCCCAGGTTTCAAAGCTAAGTATTTCTTGATCTGGGTAACGTTACCAGTCTGTGTGAGTTGGAAATGATAATTACGTTTTAGTGGGAAGATGGATGCTTCTGAATGACATTTAAATCCACGATTATTGCAGTGGTTTGGTCAGGGAGCAGTTGTTCTGGATGCCAGCTCTTCCCCTGTCACACATTACTGCGTTTGGGCAGGTCTCCAGCTGAAAAACGAAAATCAAGCCATGCGCTGCGTGAGTCAGGAAATAAATTACTATTCAGGGGTTCCCACCCCCAGTGGGTTATGCAAATGAAGGACCGTGTTTCCCAAAAACCTCAGGTTTGTGCGTGACCAAGCCCTCATGCATGGGAGGCTCCCTCCGAAGTGTCGTGAGTTGCCTGCAGGGCTCAGGGGCTGGGTGAGCAGGGGGGACGCTGGGGCCGCCCGGGATGGAGGCTGGCAGCTCTGGCTGCACCGCCTTCCAGCCGAAGCTGGCTGTACTGTTGAGCCTCAGAGAAGAAAAGATGTCCGGAGAAATTAGGGGTGCTGTAGGTGTCAATAATGGAAAAGATGATTTCCCTGTTCCCTGGCAGGTGGGGAAGCCAGGCACCCTCTGATCCCGGTTCTGAATTTTCTAACAGGCTGTATAAATCCTTTTTGTGGCAGGAGAGGTGTTTATTGACATTGGTAGCCAATGGTCACCTGAATACTGCTTGATTTCTTATTTTAAAAAAGAACAATTCGTTATGTTTAATTGAATGAAAGTATAAAGACCGTGATGATCACAGGCTAGAATGGTAACGAACGTGTTTCTTAGCAGTGAGAGCAGTATTGTCTGAACATTTTGTTTCGCCAGGAGGAGCATCTTGTTTTGTTTTGTTTCACTTCATGCCGTTGGGAAAGCGTGTGATTTCCAGGGCCGCATGCCCATGGTTCCCGTGGCGGTGTCACGCAGGGATGCTGGCTCCCGGCTTGCCGCATGCTGGGCACTAGGATGAAACCCCCAGCACCGATTTCCTTTGTGACTGCTGGGATTTTACCTGAAAGATCAAGATCAGTGTGAGCCCGGGATCTGTGTATCTTGCTTTTGGTACACGTCCCTCTGCCGTTCACGTTTAATTTGCCGTGGCCCCTCACCCTGCGGAGTGCCAGCAGCGATGCCAGGCAGTGCTGCTCCCTCCGATGGCACTGCACTGGCTGCCAGTGTGTGTTGTGCTGGGAGGAGGCGGAGGGAGCGGGTGTGCTATAGCCTGCCTGCCAACAAACCCACTGGTGGGGTGGCTCCGAGCCTGGCACCGGCATGTTTCTCCCTGCGGGGGGTTTGCTGCGAGCCTCTGCCGTGGGGCTGCGGGCAACGCCGCAGGGCAGCCGTGACACCTCCGGGGAGCGGTGATGGTCCCTGCCCCTGCAGCAGGGCTGGGATTTCATCTCCGCTGTGCGGGAGAGCCGCCGGCCCGTGCCGCGTTGCTTACACTGGTCTGTCCTGGGGCAGGGGCCATGGCAGGGTGTTTGCCTGCTCTGGTTCGTTATGTGTGGCTGCTAATGAGGGGTGGTACTCTGCACTGGTGTGTAATTGTGCAAAAAAGGTCATTGCAGAATCTCAGAGTCTTTGGTTCTAACCTGAACATGGCAAAGAGGGGAAAAACGAGATAGCTTGGATTTAACAGTGTATTTATACCGTCCTTTTAAAGGCAGAGGAATGGCGAGGCTGGGAGGGTTCAATGGGATTTAAGCAGCTTGGCATTCCCAGGTGAGACTTGTCAGTCCCTGCAGCCACCTCGGGTACAGCCTGACTTCTTCACACACCAGCACAGACAGACCCTTCCTGTGTGGACAGATTTTATTCCCTTCTGTCCAGCTTCGCCTTTGTTAAGCACAAACCCAGGGAAGATCAGTGCCAACACGGGCTGTTGGACCCGACGTGTTTTGCGGAGACGGTAGCTGGGATGGGAAGGGGCAGC